ATCCCTGATGAACACAGATGCAAACATTCTCAGTAAAATACTAGGAAACAAATTAAAAAATATATTAAAAGGATTATACGTACCATGATGAAGTGGAATTTACACCAGGGATGAAAGCACGGTCCAACATCCCCTAAACAATTGCTGTGATACATCACATCAACAAAACCAAGAATAAAAATCACATGCTCCTCGTCTCCACAGACACAAGTATATGACAAAATTCAACATCAATTTATGATAAATACTCTCAACAAAATCGATTTAAAAGGAACATGATAAAAGCTATGTATAAGCCCACAGCTAAAATTAAACTAAATGGTGAAAAGCTGAAAGCTTTCCCTCTAAGATCAGGAAAAAGACAAGGATGCTCACTTTCACCATATTACTCAATAGAGTATCGAGAGTATGGGCCACCATCATCAGAAAAGATAAAGAAATAAAATGCATCCAAATTGTAAAGGAAGAAGTAAAACTGTCACTATTTGCAGATAATGTGATATTATATACAGAAAACCATAAAGAATCCACCAGGAAACTATTTAATAGAGTAAATTAATTCAGTATAGTAGCAGAATACAAAATTAATTTATGCAAATCTATTGAATTTATATACACTAATAATCAGAAGAAAAATTAAGGAAAATCATTTACTGTTGCATCAAAAATAAAATATCAATGAATAAATTTAACCAAGGTGAAAGACCTATACTCTGAAAACTATAAGACACTGAAAAAAGAAACTGAAGAGGAAACAGATAAATGGAAAGATATACTATACTCATGGATTGGAAGGCTTAATATCATTAAAATGACTGCACTACCCAAAGCAATTATGGAGTCAATGTGATCCCTATCAGAATACCCAATGACATTCTTTCCAGAAATAGAATAATCCTAACATTTATATGGAATCACAAAAATTTAAAAAGAAACATACAAATAGCTAAAGCAGAAAGAAGAACAAAGTTGAAGATATCACACTTCCTGGAATGAAATTATACTACAAAATTATAATAATCAAAGTGGTATGATATTGGCACAAGAACCAACACACAGATGAATGGAACAAAAGAGAGAGCCAAAAAATAAACCCTCACTTATGTGGTCAATCCATAAGAAAGAGGGCAAGAATCTACAATGCAGAGTCTTTGACAACTGGTGTTGGGAATGCTGGACTACTCTACTACACCATATGCAAGAATAAAACTCAAAATGGATTAAGGACTTAAATGTTAACACCTAAAACCATAAACCTCCCAGAAGAAAAGATAGGTAGTAAACTATTTGATATCAAGCTTAGTAACATATTTTCAGGTATGTCTCCTCAAGCAAGGGAAAGCAAAGCAAATATAAACAAATGGGACATCATCAAACTAAAAAGCTTCTCTGCACAGCAAAAGAAACCAACAAAACAAAAAGACAAACCACTCAGTGAATGAGAGAATGTATTCGCAAATGATATATCCTATGAGAGGTTGATATCCAAAACATATAAGGAAATCATACAACTCACTAAGAAAAATTTAAAAATTCTCCAATCAAAACATGGGCAGAGAACCTGAAGAGACATTTCTCCAAAGATATACAGATGGCCAGACATACGAAAAAATGCTCAACATCACTTATCATCAGGGAAATGCAAAAGAAAATCACAATGAGCTATCACCTCCCACCAGTTAGAATGGGTATTATCGAAAAGCTAACACAAGAAGTGATGGCAAGGATGTGGAGAAAAGGGAAAACCTTGTGCACTGCTGGTAAGACCGAAAATTGGAGCAGCCACTATGGAAAACAGTAAGGAGATTATCCAAAAAAAACTAAAATAGAACTAACATACAACCCAGTTATTCCACTTCTGGTTATTTATCCTAAAAAAAAAGGAAAACATTAATTTGAAAAGATATATGCTCCACTGTGGTCACTGCAGCATTATTTACAAAAGCCAATATATGAAATCAACTGAGGTGTCCATCGATAGATGAATGGATAATGAAGAGGAAACAATGGAATTCACAATGAAATACTACCCATGAATAAAAAAGAACAAAATCCTGCTACCTACAACAACACTGATGGACCTAGAGGGTATCGTGCTAAGTAAAACAAGGCGGACAGATAAAGACAAATGCCGCATATGATTTCACTGATATGTGGAATTTTTTAAAAGTCAAAACAGAACAAAAACAGACTCACAGAAACAAAGAACAAACTGAAGGTTGCCAGAGGGGTGGGAGGTGGAGAGATGGGAGAAAAAGGTGAAGGGGATATAGTCAGTAACAGTGTGATAAATCCTCATGGTGACAGATGGTTACTAGATGGTTGGTTAGCACTTTGTAAGATAAATAAATGTCGAACAATTCTGCTGTACACCTGAACCTAACATAACATTTTATGCCAACTATAATAAAAAATAATTGCTTTGAAAATAAATTTTACCTACTTTAACCAGCTTTGCTTTTTCTTCAATCAAAATGTAATACACCTAAATCTTTACACTTGGGCATAAGCTCCACTCCAAGCTGCTCAACGCAATTTACAGAGCTGTCCAGAACTTCTACCTCTACCATCCTCTAACTCTGAATGGGCCAACATGGCTACATATATCTTCCACAGAATTTACAGGTGGCTCATTCCCCCAGAACACCAGTAATCTGGTCCCTGGTATCATTCTAGGCAATCCCATTAGTTAGTTCAGTGTTGAGGTTATCCTTCTATTTGTAGTTATAATAATAATAGTAACAATAACTTCTAGCTACTTTAATATTTTTAAGCTCTACGAAAATGCCATGAGAAAGTCTTATCCTTACTTATAGCTGAGGAAAGAGGAGCTCAAAGATGGTATGCAACTTCCCTGAAAACACCAGCAAGTAAGGGTGGGCCTGAGTGTCAACCATCAGGTCAGTGTGACTCCAAAACCCACACTCTCCACTCTACCAAACTCAAACTCCCTTTCATAAGTCTCCATTACTAATGCTTGTGGAGGCATTTTCTAATGTGAAATCTTGGTAGCACATTATACATAAGGTGTGTCCAGAAGGTATCCAGCCTTGTAATATGAAAAAGAGAGACTTTTATTGAAGAAGATACAAGATACAAGAAACACTGTACATAGGACAATAAGGCCTCAGTCTCCTTCAAAGTAGGCATCTTGAAACCTCACAGTTCTCCCAGAATCTCTTCCACTGTTCAAAACACTCTGCAAAATCCTTTGTTGGAATCACCATCAGCTGCCCCATCATATTTTTCTGAATCTCATTGACGGTCTGACATCTTTTCCCTTTAAAGGTGATTTTACTTTTGGGAAAAGCCAGAAATTGCAGGGTGCCAAATCTGGGCTGTATCAAGGCTGAGTCACTTGGGTGGTTTGATGTTTCAACAAAAAACTCTGTAGGAAATATGATGCACGAGCCGGTACACTGTTGTGATGAAGCTGCAAATCACCAGTTGCCCATAGCTGTGGCCATTTTCATTGTATTGCAGCTCTCAACCAATAAAGAACACTGAGGTAGTTCTCCTTATTAACTGTTTGGGCTGGAGGGGCATGCTCACGATGGACAACACCTTCCCAGACAAAAAACAGTTAACATGGTCTTGATCTTGCTGTGATTCTGCTGTCCTTTATGCCAACCTTCTTCAGGCATGAAGAACCAGGTGACTTCTACTGGGACAATTGGGCCTTGTTTCCAGATCATTGCCGTAGACCCAGGATTCATCTCCAGTTATGACCTCCCTGAGGAAATCTGGTTCACTGGTAGCAGTTTGAACAATGTCATTAGCAACTACGGCACGATGTTCCTTCTGTTCTGGTAGCAGAAACCACGGAATGAATTTTGCCTTAACATGTTTTATGCCAAGATCCTGTGTCAAAATCTCGGATACCATAGATTTTGGAATCCCCAAATCAGCTAATTCTCATACTGTCAGTCGCTGATCTTTGTTGATTGCAGCCCATACACGTTCAACATTCTCAGGTGTTCTGCCTGTTGCAGGCCTTCCAGAATGTGGATCACTTAACAGGTTCTCAGCCATCTTTGAAGCATTTGTGCCACACTTTTATTTGCTCTGCACTTATTGCATCATCCCTGAAAGCCTTCTGAATCATCTCAATAGTTTCCATGGAGGAATGCTCAAGCTTAATGCAAAATTTGGTGCAGATTCGTTGCTATACTCATTCAGTCATTTTTAATGTGATGACCACACAGTACACACACACTCACTCAATAGCATCTACCGCCTCCACTGACTAGTACAGTGAAGTCATCATTGTTCATGCATGTGCATTCCAGGGCGCCAGGTTACATCAATGTCGCACAAACCATTCTGATTATATTAACAATAGCTGTATTTTTTCAGGACAGACCTTCATACACTCCAAATAATATGTAAAATAAGCCACTGAAATTATTAAAGACAAAAACGAAACCCATTACCAAAGGTAGTCATGAAGAGTTAAACTGAAATATACAAAAGTTATCAGAAAAAAAAAAAGGAAAACCAGAACCAAAGTAAAATGTATATCAACCATATAAGGGGTCCCTTAGGCATCTAATTTAAATATACTTATACAGGGTCTGGCACAAATAATACACCTTTTTTATTACAAAATCATAAGCATGTAATTTTGTACCATAACAATATCACACTCAAGCACACCATATGACACTTTAGGTGAAAATGTTCAAGGTAAAACTGTAAATTATTACACCCATATTATTACCCTACCAACCACATTCAGGCAGGGATTACTTCTGCCAAACCCTATTTTAACCATCACTGGTTTCATTTCAAAATAATACTTCGATTAGTTCTTTTAAGTGTGATAGTATCCAGTTGTGTTTTTCTTATATAGTAGCAGAATAATAAAATTTTAAATCAACATATATCCCAGCTAGGTGAAGAAAATTGTTCAAAAATATTTTAAAATATAGTTTAAGTTGCTTCAGTATATAAAATTCAACAATAAAAAATTATTATGATATAAATACAGTGATACTTACAAGTAATAATAACCAAGATGGACCTTATCAGAAATTCACAGATCTGCTTCCATTTAGCCTGAACTCTGGATGTGATCACAGGGATGATGATCTCTGCAGGGACGTAGAACTGAATGGAATATGTCACAAAGATGCCAAAGGAATATAGAATTTTCACTGATTGATATAACCTGTGTAAAAATTTCAAAATTTAGTCATTCTTCTTTTTTGAGCTCTATTGAGGTACAAGTTAAAAATAAACCTACAATATATTTAAAGTTTACAATGCGATAATTTAAGATGCACGATACCATGCAGTATTTGTCTTTCTCTGTCTGGCTCATTTCACTCAGCATAATGCCTTTACACTATTACCTTAATATAAATCTAGCTTTCTTCCTTTTTAATTTTATTGTTATTTATGATAGACAAGAGATCCAAAACAAGCTAAGGCCAGTTTATTACTAATTAAATGTTTATTTACATTAAAAAGCCAGCTGACTTCTAAATCTCTAGACAATAGAGGGACAATTCATTCTGATAAGCCTAGAAAGCAGAGGCACACATCAATTTGTGAAATACCATTGGAAAGATTTCATTTTAGGCCAAGCCAATGTTCTGAAGGTTAGACTGAGCCCCATAAAGAGCTAATGTTTTTTTCAACTTTCTTTTTAAAACTTGAGCATACTACATATCTTTCATATCTCACTCATTTATAAAGAAAAACTTCACATGGAACTCTGAGTTACATAGTTCTCCTTGCTTAAAAAAAGTTGATAGGTATGGCACTGGTTGCAGAAATGGCATCATTCCTAAGTCTACAAAGTAGGCATCTAAATGGTTTCAACTTGCAAACTTCTCTAGATTGTACAGGAATTGAACCTGTTTTAAAGTTGCATTAATAAAGGAAACAAACTTGGGTTAGGTGGTTGTTTTGTTCAAGTAAACTTATCTTTTCTTGATGCCCAGTGCTTCAAAAGAGTACAGCAATTTTCAGTTTTATAAATATCTTTAGATTTCTATATCATAGAGAGCCTCTGGTCAAAACTCAGTACACATGTCTTAATAAAGACTTTGGACACATTATAAATATACCCTAATACTGCTTCATTTAGTAGAATACGATTCTAATATCAAAGAGAATACTAAGATACCATATTATTTAATTTATTTATAGTGTGTCCTGTGTTCTGAAAGGATTGGGGTATGTATAGTATGAAAGCTGCCCGGTAAAACAGTGGGGGACATAAGTGACAGGTCATGTCATTTCATCAGGAACCCTGAAAGGGCAAGTGTTAAACTTTTTGTTAAAGTGTCCATATTAAAAGAATCTGTGTTTTACTTTTCTTCTTTATTCACTTTTAAAATGTCCTACCATTTTTAATCATTTTCCAAAATCTCACAAGGACCTGTAAAATCAGAAGTGGTCTCCTCTGAAGATTATAAAAAAATATTCTAGACTATACAAGTAAAGAAATCAGTAAAAAATTCATATTTACACTATAAATCCAAGAATTTACATTTATCATCAAATACTGGCAAACTTATATCTATAAAATATGCAAACCAGGATTAAGGAACTCGTATCTACCTACCACACATCTTGAGGAAGATTCAGAGTTATGCTGCCTTTGATTTTATCCTGAAAACACATGTACCCTAAGGTAGCTAACGTGACATACAAAGTTGTAACAATTCCCATGCCAATATTCAGCGCTTGGGGAAAGCGTTTTGATTCTTTCATTTGATTTTCAAGTGGAAGGACCTAAGAAAAGAACGCAAATAATACAAACAATTTAAAACAATGCAGTATTTTGTATTATATATGCACAAATTAATCTTTCTCTAGTTTATAAGCAACTCTTTTTCTTTTTAAACACTTATAATTGTTGAATATTTTTCCATGTGTTATACACATGTATTTTTTACACAAATTTATAAATTCTTAAAAAAATTAAAATCAGCTCTATGAAGCAAACCTGTTTTTTTAAATAAATTTGAACAGTTTCCCCATTGTTAATATTTTACACAACCAAAGTACATTTGTTACAATTAATAACACTGGTACACTACAATTAAATTAAGCTCCAAACTTTGTCTGGATTTCACCAGTTTTTCCACTAATGTCCTTTTTCCTATCAGGAATTCCACGGTGCATTCTGTCATCATCTTCTTTGTCTCCTCTGGTCTGTGGGAGTTCCTCCATCTTTCCTTATTCTTCACCACCTCCACAGTTTTGAGGTCCTGGCTAAATATTTAGCATAATGTACCTCCATTTGGGTTTATCTGATGTTTTTCTCATGATCACACTGGGATTATAGGTTTTAGAAAAGGATACCACAGAAGTGAAGGGCCCTTCTCAACCCCCCTAATGCAATAAATCGCATTAATCAATGCAATTTATCATGGGTGACGTTACTTTCCATCATCTGGATGAGGTGGTGTTGGCCAGGTTTCTCTGCTTTTAAAGTTCTTTTCTTCTCCTCATCTTACTCTGTTGTTTGGAAGTCAGCCCATACTCTGGAGACTTGGGGGGATTAAACTACCCCTCCTGGAGGGGAGACTTACACAAATTATTTAGAATGCCCCTTACTGGATTAAATTATGTACCTCTTTAATTGTTTATTCGCATTAGTATGGGTTCATTCTTTTTACTCATACTTTGAGTAAAAGTCCAAAACACTGTTGTTTATTTTGTTATTCAGGCTGTCCCAGCTTTGGTCGTTCTATCAGGTTAGTACCCGTGTCCCTTTGACCTGACTCCATTTTTTTATTTTTTAGGCACTTTCATACTTTCTGGCACTACAAGATGCTCCAGACTCATCTTGAATTTCCTTGCTTCAGCACAAAATCAGCCATTTCTCCAGAGAAATTTCATTTTTTTGTTGGCAATGATATTTAGAAATCAAGATCTGGGTGCTCAGTGTGCTTGTTGCTACCGGGGTATCACTGTCTCTAGGGCCTCTTGGCAGACAGTGCAAGAGAACAAATGTATGTATAGCATCCATGTATACACAGCTGTGTAACTCTTTCTGTATCTGTCCACCTGTATCTATTGTCTATTAGTGAGATGAACAAACTAGTTTCATTATGTAAAAAAAGTAAAGGAAAAGAAAAAAGACTAACTGAAAAGTTAGGCAAATCTTCAGAGATTTTGGCTGTATGATTTGACCATACTATAAAACACACTAGTAATAACTCTAACTTTTATTTCCACTTTTCAGGTAGGTCAGAACCATTATTAACTGGTTCTGTAGATGTAAATATTAACTGGTTAATAAAAAGAGAGAACAGAGGACAAGATGGATGCTCTGGGGATAATCTAGACCTGAAATAAGGGGCCATGGTTAAGAATGGTGCCTGTGAATCGAGAAAAGAGGAAAGGGGAGGAAATGAATATTTACGTAGGCCCACACTGTGTCCAGCAGCATTGCTGGTGCTTTACATATAATCTCATTTATGGAACAGATTTGGGGAAACAGGAAAGAAGAATCAACAAGCCTTAATTACTGACTAGAATGAGAAAACCAGTGACAGTGAAAAGAATTACCCAATGTTTCAACCTTAAGCAACTGAAAAACTGAAGAAGTAGAGAAGTGAGGAAGTAAAGCTGGTTTTGCATAAGAAAGTATGTGTCAGACTTTGAAGCTGTTGACTTTGAGATGTCAGAGAAACAACACTAAACTGGAAATGTCCAGCCATTCACTAAAGCTTAGGAGGTAAAGACAGAAATGAACATCTGAACGAAATATGCCTGTAACTAGATAAATGGAGCTGTAAGAACTTGTGAGAATTCTCTAACAGAGAATTCAGGGTAAGAGGGTATAAAATTGTTTTTTAGATATATTTTGTCATGGTTCATATAAGTAGATGTTTATAAGTGGTTTTACTCTCATAACAAACCATCAGACTATGAAACAAGCTAAGGAGTAGACAGCAATATCTTACAAAAATCTACACATTCCAGGCTTTAAAATAACTGGAAGCATCTTGAATGAAAATACAGTTAAACCTTGGTTCTCGACCATCTTGGTTCTTAAACAATTCAGGTTCTCAGCCAACTTGTCACAGAAAAAAAGCTCTCGGTTGTCTAACAAAAACTTCAGGTCTCGATTCTCTACCCGACAACCCCTTCGCGCCAACACCTGTATGATTCGATCAGTCACTCGTCTCTCAGGAGACAAACAAAGGAGATTCGGTTTTCAAACTGCTTCTCAAACAGTTTTCCAGAACAAATTAAGTTTGAGAGCCAACGTTCCACAGAATTTTAAGACTTTAAAATTCTCAGGATGCTATATCTCTTGGTATTAGCATAACACTATTTTTCAAAACAAATGATATGCACAAATCTAAAGGGAGAATATATATTTGACTCTTATGAAATAGTAACATCATAACACTGTTAATTCACTTCAAATCATCTAGTCTATGCAATATGATGTTTGGGATCTGTCTGTATATTACCCAGCCGTGGCAGAGGAGACGGAATATAGATACAACACTGGCTGTGAGTTCATGGTTTTTGAAGTCAGGTGATGCTTACATAAAAGTTCATCAAAATATTTTCTAAATTTTGTGTTTTGAAATTTTCCACAATAAAATGTTAAAAATCATCTAATCTAATGTCCTTATGTTACACATTAAGATAAAGAGAATTAGAGAGTTTAAGTGATATGTCTAAACTAAACTTGGTTAGTGGAAGAACTAAACTACATTTCAGGTCTCTCATACCAAAATGCAAACCATATTCTAGAAATAAAGGTAATAGAAACAAAAAAAAACATAGATTTTTAATCTGGCTTTAGTACATAAATCTTTGTTTTGACTTAAGATTCTAAAAAATAATAAAAGCTAAATCCTTACCACTCCTATGCCTTCAAAAGCAAACACAGCAGTACCAAAAAAGAGTGGGTACTTTTTCCAACCAGCCACTACTGGAAGGTTGTGGAGATCTGGCATATTCTGGAGAAAGAAAGAAAAAAATAAGGCAAGTTACATCTATACTTATTTTAAAAAATTTTAAATAGAAAAGCAAAATCATACACTTCCGAGCTTCACAAGAGCAAGTACATATTATAAAAAGAAATAATTCTTTCAATAAACACTTTCAGCATCCTATGTTAAATGTAGCCAAGCTGTTAGGATTTCACGGCCAAAAGCAGTTGGTTTCCTCATGCCCACACATTACATCTGAGCTAAATGATCCTCATTACCTGTTTCCACCTGCAAGTCCCAGGCTGTTCACACTGGGTATGGCTCCTGCCACAACAGGAAATGCATAAGCATAATCAAGAGCTGAGATGAGAGCCATTTAATGAGTTATTAACCACTGCGGATGGTGCCAAACAAAATCCATTCTCCACACTATATTTTCATTGCTTTCAGTCCCTGTGATACCTAGTTCCTAACTTTAGACTTTCTACCTCACGACTCTGTGCTGTTCCCTAGTACAGGTCTCCCCATTTTCAGTGTTTCAGTTTTTGTCCTGACAGTTGGCATTTAACCTTATCACTTGTGCATATGTCCTGAGTCTGGCTTCGATTACTTGGGCCTGACTCACAGCCTTGTTCCAACTCTCGCTGTCTGGAAACTCACACGAACTGCACATCTTATGCAAGATCTCTGGCTCCACAGTGGCCACTTCTTCCAGCTACTCCAAGTCTGGTCCCTACTCTCCTGGCCATCCTGTGTTCTCTGCTTTATCTGATTGAAAGTGGAATTCAAAGCCAGGATAAGAGGATGAACTAAGAACCTAATGTGAAAGCACACAGATAATTTGGGAGAGAGGTCTAGAACATCAGAAACTTAGGTAGAAGTGTGTGATTAATGATGACATATGACTAAAAACATAAGCTAGGGTCAGAATAAAAAGGGTATTAGAGTGTTTGGATCATGTGATAACACTAAACTGTTATTCAAGGCTCACACCGTTTCCTCCATTTAAGGAACCTCTACTTTTGCTCCACTGATTCTCACTTCTGCAGCCAATGGACCATGAACTCCAGAAAGCCCTAAAATATTCCTACCTGTCCCTGTCCACTCTTACATGCTATAAGAAAGAATCTACAAGTTGTGGAATTCAGAGACGGGGAAAGAAATAAAACATACATCCATCTAAGAGTCTGTAATAAATAGCTATTGGAGATTTTAGAACACCTACTTCAGCAGCAATGCATAAGATGCACTGGATCAGGGAAGATTGAAACAGGGAGTCTCAACCTGTTTTGAGCCACTGGCCCCCCGGCAAGATGAAAGCTTTACAGCTGCTCAGTAGAAAGCACATATATACACAGAGAAATACTAAATCTTGCACCTAATTTTAAGGAGTTTTCAGTTCTCCTGAATCCCATCCACAGATTCTTTTAAGAAAAGTAGGATGAGAATGCCCAGGCCATAAACAATAAGATTGGTTGAGGTTATTACATACTTCGGGTAAAGAGGTTACGATCTAGTGCAGTGTCAGTGGACCACAGTGGTGGCACCAAATAAAGGTCCAAAAGTGAAATAAAACTATAAAATTACATCTATACTCCCATCTGCTGTGATTGGTTCAAAACATAACAGAATAAAGAAAACACTAATAGGTTCTATTTCATGTTAGGCAGTTGTACCACAGCATGACCCTAAATCCCACAACAGCTTTAACGGGGTCGGTACCGCCATCCCCTGAAGCAGTGCCATAGAACCCGCAGGCATGTTCACCAAGATCCATCAACAGATCTGACTCCAAGGCCTACCCTTTAAACCTCTACATCATTCGCTTTCCCAATAAGCAGAGCCCTCCCAAAGGAAAGTAAAGTGTACTAATTATCTGCTCTGTGCCACCTATGAAATAGGGGGTCTTCCCATGTCATTACTTTCACCTCCCAAGGAAACAAAGAATTTACTTATTAAGAAACATATGACAGGAAAAACTTGTTATACTTACCCTAACGACATATTGATAAATTATCACAAGGCTGACAGCCATGGAAATGTTAGCAAGGAATGAAAGCACAAACAGATTCTTCAGCTCACGAATGAAGACCAAGAGAATTATAAACGGAAGAAAGCAAAGCATATATATCCTTAGGTCAATACTTCTCTCAACTGGGTTTGATGAACTGGTACTATTTGAAACAAATACTTTGCTCTCCAGGAAGCCTTCATGAACCTACATAGGATTATCAAGAGAATCAGAAAGGGGGAGGGGAGAAACTGCCATCAACTTATAATCATACAAGTGATATATAAAGAAACTTATGATCTATATACTCAATGATAAAAAGTCCTTTACAATTTGCATTTTTCAAAATACTCTAGCTTCATATATATATACATATATATATCAAATTTAAGGATAATTAAAATAGGATCACTTTCTTTGCAAAATATCTTCCTTTATCACACTGTGAACAGGTAGTTCAGTAGAAAATTACAAGGATAGTTTTACTAATTTATTTTGAAGCTTTGTGACCAACATGATGCTTCATGATCCCTGCAAAGCCTCAATCTGCTTCTGAGATAATGAAAGGAGGAAGCATTCTTGTCCAGAATGGCCACTGGTATGCACATCGAGTTATTTTTTTTTTTCAGAATAGAAAGCTCTAAGTACCTCTTAGAAATGTGCAGTAGGCAAAATAAAATTTAGAAACCATAGCTTTAAAATTGTTATATAAATCACTTATATATTATCATCATCATATCGGTAATTATTTATTGAGAATCCACTAAATTCATGCACGGTCATATGTTAGACAGTAGATAAAATTTTGCTAGAGCAAAAGAACTTCTACAAAATAAATCAACTTTACCTTAAAATTTATTCAGACAAATTTTGCTAAAGCAAAAAACTTCTATAAATCAACTTTCCTTTAAAATTTATTCAGCTACTTCTATAAACCAACACTGTTTTCAAAATAAATACAATGATTTATAAGATCCATATATGAAAAACTGTCTCAGATTCAACTAACTACATACTTAACCTACTAAAATAGAAAGGAAATGACAGAGAACTTTAAAAATGATCTTAAAAACTCACAACAGAGGCAGATCACACCACAATTTAAACACCAGTGGAAACCCATTTGCCCCCAGTACTGTAGTCTCCTTTGAACACAATGACACCATCAAGTCTCTGGACACATAAATTCTTAAGAACCAGACCCTAGAGTAATAACAGCAAGTATCTTTTGAGTACTTTCTATGAGTCTGTACAACATCTCATTCAAATCTCAAATGGGTGGTAGTATTAATTTCAACTTATAGTTGAGGAAACTGAGGTTTAAGGAGTGGAAAGAAAACTTACATAATATCAAGCCAGTAAGTGTTGGTTCTAGAATTCAAACCTAGGCTTGAGACTTCAGAATCTAACTTGCAACCACTACAAATTAACCTGACCAAAAAACTGCCACCCTGAAGCAGGGCGGGGAGGCTGCTCAAGTAACCACCTGGCCTTCACTCCAACATCTCAAAATATAGTCAGTGTGAACAGGCCAACAAATCAGAAGTTTAAAATGAATTCTCATATGATCAACAATTCATGTGCTTCCTTTAATTACACTTAAAATCCATGATACACAACATTTAGTGCAACTGAAAATGCACAACTCATCTTCAACTGCAGGGAACATATCTCCTAGTTTCAAGTCATACAGACAATCCATTACTAATACTGGACTAACAAACTCTCTGGTTGCACCATGTACCATTTAAGAAATGCATAACTCACATTTATCTTATAACTAACCATCAAAACTTTATAATATAATTTTCTATAATTTGAAATAGAAGCTAAATTGGTAATTCACATTAGTTGGCTCTTGAGAAGATATTTTATTTGTTTACTCAATTTTCTCAGTAACTGAATTATTTGGAACCAAATACTTCTGCATCAAAGAAGTAACTACCATAATTGGATTAGATACTGATCCGTATTAAGCTCTAACAAGGATAGCTGGCAAGAGAAAAGCAGTTACAGTTATAAAAAGGGCTATTTGAATCATTAGGTGCTTGGGAATCTGAAATTAATTCTATCACAAATATCTCATAATAATTTAGTATTCTTTGGCAGAACAACAGTTATAAAAATTTTCAGGATTAAAAAATAAAGTAAAAATGTAGATACATACCCAGAGCAAGATTCAGGTAAACATTTGAGTCCTTTGGTGCCCTCTAGAGACAGAGATTGGCAATCTAATAGGACTTCCTATGATCTCACATGTTTACCAAAATGCAAAACACTGAAATAAATATTATAAAATAAAATTACTAAATTCAGTTTTTTCCACTTAGAGCTCAAAGTTACTAAACACCACTACTTATTAACTTTTCAAGTATTTGGTAATTTAATGGTTAAAATTCCAAAGACAGATTATGTGTTTCGGCAAAGCTACAATCAGAATCAAAGCCATATTACCCTACATTTGTATGCTGTTTCACATTTGACAGTGTTTCACAAACCTTTTGTGAGCTGAGCCTCACAATAAGTTTATGAGGAACAAGGGGAGATTCTGTTACTATTCCCATTTTACAAACAAGGAAACTGAGGCTTGATCAGAGATAAGGGTCGTGCCCAAGGTGTGAGTTAAAACTGAGAGAGCCGGGATTTGAATTCAGATCTTCTGACTCTAAGGCCCATACCAAGTCTTCAGTATTGCTACGTTTTTTTCCTAATGTAATATCCCTTCCCCGCTCTTCAGGCCCATGTATACTACTTTATCTGTCTGAAATTTTCTCAAGTATCTGAGAGTAAGCAGAGAGGAGCCATAACCACAATAGGCTAAGTCATCAAAGATCTATGGCCTTTTCACCCTGCCAATTGTCCGCCATGTCTTCATGAGACCAAAAACAACCATATGCCAGCTACAGAGCAGGAGGCTCACACATCTGTACAATAACAAAACCCTTAATTCTTTAATTTGATAAAATACCACACCTTCAATTTTGTGTAGATTAAGGCAGTAATAAATCTTGCAGTTTTTATCTATATTAGCAGTAGTGATTGGTAAGGTTCAATCAGCCCATGTGTCTACAACTGGAGGCTGCTATCAAACACAGGAGAATGCTTCCACAGAGAGTGAGAATCTCTGACGACGCAGTTTCAGTGACCACCCGCCTGCTCTGCTGAGGTGACAGGTTCATCGTTCCTTTCAACTTTTCTCAAGTCTCAGTGAATGTCTTTTTCCCTGTTGCTCTCTATGCCTCAAAAGGACTTTCATCTTTCTATCTATAACAGGCAATCTCTTTACCTCCAAATCACTTTTTCTACCTGGTATTCTAGTATATGTGCAAATGAGTTAAATTATTCTACTTAACTTTGGAAGCAACTGATAATAATTTATAAAAGTTACCAATCCTGAGCTTACAGAGACTTACTTTATGTACTTCATATACTCTTTGCACCACACACACGTACACACACGACTAAAAGCAGACGATGTTCTGTCTGATGATGGCCAACAAATATGTTGGGTGGCAGCTGTCAGAGACCTGGACTTCAGCCCAATCCCCATGACTCAGGTCACACTGTGTGCACACTGTGAGACTCAGTTTCCTCATTCATAAGATGAGCATAGTCCTGACATTACAGAGTAGTTGTAAAAATTAAGTGATATATGTCACAGCTTATAAATATAAGATGACAAGGCATTATTAGCCTTATTTATTATCCATAAATTCAAATCAAGTTTGTCGATCGCTCTCTCAGGAGATGATAAAGAGACAACAGTCTGCCACCGTGTTGCACAGCCCTGGAGAGGCATCGTTTGCACTGCACATAAATGGCTGGTAAGTCTTGCCAGTTCTACCTCTCACCAGAGTCAGTAGTCCTAGGAAAGCGCAACTTGTGCAATTAGATAATTGCAAGATTAAAAGCACATCATCTATAATAAGTAATGCTAATGAAAGCATCAACTCCCTTATTAATAAAAAGGGGATTTGACTTGGTGAGCCTTCCAACATTGGAAATCTAAGCTAGTGACTTTAAAGCCACTATGGCCCACAGACCAAACCTGGCTTATTTTTGCAAATAAAATCTTATTGGAACACATCCATACCTATTTGTTTATGCATTGCTGTCTATCGCTAAGATGACATAGAGACCATATGGCTTACAACACTGAAAATACTTATTATCTGGCCTTTTACAGAAAAAGTTTGCCAATTCTTATCTAAATATAAAATGAAGAATTCTTTATACTTAGAAAAATGAGTCTTGGGACTTACTTGTATAGGACTTACTTGTATATATATGGGTTCTTTAGAAAACATTCACATCATAATTTTACATTAAAATAACTACTAGACAAGTACTACATATTATTACTATGTATAATTATTACTATGTATAATGCCTACCATTGCACCATGCACATGTAGATAATTAACCAGTGTGACTAATTAAAATAACTCAAGAGCAAGGTGTAATGTAAGAATAATAAAGGCGAACTGCCAGTGAAAGCACATAAAGAAATGCGCTGTGGCCTTGTTCTGACAGGGGAGCTTTTTTATTTCAGTGCTTTGCATATTTGTTCAAATTGACAGTCTCTGCTAAGACCGTGACCACCTCCTCTCAAAGCAAACAATTCAATATGGGGAGAATTACAGAACACTGTACATTTCTGGACGTGCATTTTTAGACAATAGCAACAATTACTGGATTTTAGTCATGTCCACTTTTCTACTTCACTTTTTAGGCTGCTGGCTAAAGCTTTACATATGTCCTCATAAAACATCGATATAAAAAGTATGTTCCCAAACATCTGTATCTAAATTTTGAGTAGCTAAGAATCAGGAAATTATGTCCTGTTCTGATATGAAAGAACAAGCATTACTGATATAACAACAAGAAAAATAAGACCAACAATAATAACAAAAATCCAACTTGCAAAAAGGAAAATCTACAAAGGAACATGATTAAGGAAAGAAACACATCTGCGTATTTAACCATGGCTCACTCAGAGGAAACACGATGTTATTACTATGGCATTGGAAGAAAATGACTTCAGTAATAGGAGAAAAGTACTTACTTGTTTCACATTTTCAGCTAAGAAGACAATATAAACACTACAGAAGCCCAGTTGTGTTATCACCAGAAAAAAGTCAACCACACTCCTGAAAAGAGATGCCCTCAAATGAGTATTAATAAGAGCTGCTGAAATGTGAATCTGTATTTTCTCTTTTCAACTATTTTAAAACATTTTGTAGTAGTGTACATTATTCTTTTCACTTCCTTAAAATAAGAAATAGACTTAAAATATTTATTTTCTCAAAAATCATACACTTATGATCAGTATGTCACTCAAGTTATTACTGAGCAAAAGAATGTTCCATTAAGTTAAAAGGCCAAAATTTTCCCATCATTTCTGAAATTCAATAGTTTGAGTATCTGCTTATGAAATGACTTAGTAAGAACACCACTTCTTTTAGATTAAGTGCATCTCTCCTACTTCTCAAGACCTTTTCCAGATCAACCCAGTGTGTTTCCCAGCCCTCCCAGCTTCATGTCATTTGCAAATATGATGAGCACAGTCTCTATGACCAAATCACTAATAAGAATATGGAACATGGAGTAAGAGGGACATGGCCCTAAATCATACCATCAGAGACCTCTTTAGCTGTGTCCTGCTTTTTAATGACATACTATAGAATGTTCCAGATACACAAAATAGTGTACAGGAATGGGGAAGGGATATCACCAGTCAAATGAGCATTATTTGGGCATGGAGGTTTGTCAAGTTACAAATTTGCCTGCATGTCAATAGACAGCCCACACTTCTTAATTTTGTTCTGGGAACAGTGGGTGACTATAATAGCATGCACCTATTCATTCCCTATAGCCTCTTGTTTGACCATCAATGTCAAGCTGTCAAATAATCAAATCCACAAAACTACAGACCTTCCTTCTGCCACTGGAAACTAGGAGAGCTCCTGTCTTTATCTTCACCTGCCATATCTCTACAGTTCTCCATGGCTCCTCAGGGATCTGATTTGTAAGTAACCCTGGTACCCTGAAATGAATTCAAGTTTCTTCTCTCTGATGAATTGCATTTAAGTATTCCCTTAACATCTCTTTATTCACCCTGGACTCTAGTATCCCAGCAATAATCACTCCAGCCCCTTCCTTGTGAAAGCCATTTTTGTTGATAGAAAAAGCAGACAAGGCTGCCTCTAGACCGGAGCAGGAGTATGAAGACACAGTTGCGGGGGCAACGCCCTAGGGCATGAGACTGTTTTCTTCCTTCTCCTATTTGGCATACCAAGAACTGAGAAGCTCATAAACAAATCTAAACTCCTGGAAATCCTAGATAGGCCATATTTAACCATAAACTACTCTATTAACACTGATCTTTTTCTCCTTTTAATTTTCACTGCACATATCATTTGTACCATAGTCAGCATTTTGTTGATTGCCTGTGCTTATTTTTCCAGGCCTGTATTCATCTGACTTTGATTAGCCTTGCCCACCAATGACAAATTACATTTAAACAATGACAGCATGCTGAAATACATGCTCCAGATGTCTTGTAAGCATGTAGCTAAACAGTATAATTTTATTTGAAATAACATTTTAACTTTTTTCTTGTTCTTTTCCTTTACTTAAAAAATCACTGAACATGCTTATACCACAGGTCAGCCCAGTGCTTTATAAATACCATTTTATCTAAACTACTGTAGTAAGCCTGTGAAGCAAGTATTATTATGAACTCATCTGATAATGAGGTAACTAAAACAAAATGATAATCTGACCCAGGTCACAAAACTGAAAAATGGTGGAGTTGAGATCTGAACCCAAGTCTGTTTAACTCTAAAGATTACATTTATTCCCCAAACTTTATCATACTTCTATTTAGGATCTTGTCAGACTATATTACTTAAAATTAAAGTAATTTCAATAACCAGATGTTAATAATACAGCAAGGCCTTACCGTCCCCATGCTGCTTGCTTCTGAAGACAACTCCAAGGACTTACTTCCATAGCAAAACTCACAGTGTCACTATAACCTAATGTCGACTTTTTAAACCTGTAATGTAATAACATACATGTACATGAAAAAAATTAAGTTGGTTCATAAATCCTCCCCTTGAAAAGAACATCATATAAATGAGAAAAAATGAATACAGAGCTATGCTCTGACAGAGGAGATTTTGAAATTTCAAGGACTGCGTACTCCTAAAATATGTCTCATGAAATTTAAATATTTTATGTCCTATTCCCAATATATTAGTTTTATTTACTGTGAAAGCTTATATACTTGTAGAATTCATATGACATAACATTTGTACTTTACTGATTTAAACATTTCAATTACCTAAAAACATCAACTACATTGTTCATGCCTCAATTATTTCATTATTAGAATAGCATTATTTATACATCTATACAAGGCTTTATAATATATTTTCACATATATAGCTTATTTAATTCTCAAAATAGCCAAGAGGCATGTATTAGTTCTCCTGTTCTCTCTCCCATTTTTTAAAAGTATACATTGTTATTTAAAGATCATAATTGACTTGCCCAAAGTTCTAAGAACATTTAAAACAGTAACAACAAAGAGTTAAAATTTGAGTATTAGTTTACTAGATTAGACAATAATTATTTTTTAAAAGTTGGCCCATTGTCCAGTCGAAGCATTTCATGACACAAGATAAAGAAAAAATATTATTTTATAGACTACCAATCCACATATCACCGAAGAACACCGAAGTCATTATATCCCAAAATGAATTACTAACAAATTGAGAGCCTTACACTCTAACTAAAAGCAGTACTGCTTCCTTCATTTCCCCATATATCTTTCCTGATTTTTTTCACTTACACTAAATAAACCATTATATTCCACTAATAAGACTATATTTTAAAAGAAGTAAATATATCTAACCAGATTTCACTAATAAGACTGTATTTTAAAAGAAGTAAATATATCTAACCAGATTTCACTAATAAGGCTATATTTTAAAAGAAGTAAATAGGCCCATGTAGCTCAGTGGACATCCCAATACACCAAGGTTATGGGTGTGATCCCTGGGGAGCACATACAAGAATCAACCAATGAATGGACAGGACACATAAGAATAACAACAAATTGATGTCTCTTTTTCCCTTCCTCTCTCTTTTTAAAATCAATTAAAAAAATAGATTTTGACTAGATTTTAATCATATGAAATGCTACCTTTTTCCAAATTATCTTAAACTTGTCTATATAACAAATTACAAGAAATATAAGTGGTAGTTGCAAAGCAGAATTAAAATATGACTACCCAATGCTTTAAATAACTACACAGCTTCAAAATAAATAAACTTAACAAATCCACATTTACCTCTGACATAGAAAGTGACTGCAACGTACCAAAATGTGCATACAGTGAACAGAAATAATTCCTATAAACACAAGGCTGATTGGTCCAAGCTATAGGGAAAAAAAATATAGGGTTTAAATATTTAAGTATCACAAAAATTAAGCTGCCTTATAAGCAATGAAACAATAAACTACTCATTTGCAGTAAATAAATATTTGTTGGAAAAATGGTTAAATAGTTATTTGTATAAGGGAAAACTAATAAACTGGATACAGAAAGAATTTCAGTAACACTTAACCACATATGATTCCATCTTGGCTATCTAAACCTATGAATACACAGTATACATTTGCAACAAAGTGGGATGGAATGCAACATCCCATTTAACATGAGATGGCAAGTCTGTCACTACCAGTGCCCCACCATAGTAATTACATGCAACTATGAATCATTATCTAAATGACTAAAAAAGCACTGTATGGATCTGGGACTAAGGGCAATCCACTTCTACAGACTGCCAGGTAAATACTTACTATGTGTGAGAAACAGAGCCTAGAAAATAATTATCTGAAAAAGTTGTACACAGTGAATTTCAAGTATTTATTACTATAATGAAAGTTACTCCTGGATTATTGAGACATAGACAAAATACTGTCAAAGCATATTTTATAATCAGAAATTTTTAAGTTTGTCTAAATTAGGATGGGCAAAGTCAAATGCAGGGAAAGATGATAATTAAAACTGTTTTGAGAAAGCTCATTGTTTAAAAAAGATTAAGAAAAGAGTATAATCTCACTTACTTCATAAGTGAATTCTCCCCATCTAGATTTTCTAAAATTACAATAATTAGTCCTAATAATACTTTAAATATTTGTTTTCAAAAGATATTATTCCTTTCCTTAACTATTGTTCTTTAAACCTGAAAACTATGTATTTTATTCTGAATCTAAAAAACTATAAAATTTCACTAATACAAATGATCTGCTCTATAAATGTATTTGCTGATATGAGTACACTGCTTAAATCCCTGAGAATCCAAGAATAACAAGATATAAACACACCTGGAAAAAATCAAATACTACTTTATGATCTTTCTGTCAAATAATATATATTAATTAAGTAGGAAAAAGTAATTAATTGTCATTTCTTGATAGGTACTATTATCATAGTTCATATAACTTTATCAATACAATGGCTAAATGATTACTAATTGTCACTGACCATGTTCTAGGTGACAAGACCAAGTGACAATATGTGGTGATTTCTGCTGTACATTAAGACTGATAACTATCTTAACTAGAGATTCTTACCACTATGCCTGCATTCTTTATTGCCAACGGGAGTCCTAAAAGGCCGGTCCCAATATTTCCTTTAAGAAGGTGCATAAGAGTTTGTAAAAATCTGAAAAGTAAAAGTTGTAAGATTTAAACATTTTAGAACAAAAGCTATTAAAATCACACCATCATGATTTTAGCATTGGGAGGTAACTGAAAATTAATCTAGGCATGGAATCATTTCCATTCAACCAGACCTTAAATGGGCCAGAAGTTATTATTTGGTTCAAGTTCCATCTTTGCCACTTAAAAACTAAAACACAGAGGGTTATTATGGAGATTATATGAGATATTTAAGTAAAATTATTTTGAACATATTAGTCATAAAGAAAAAATAATTTGCTCATAAGATTCTTTGTTGCTGTAATATTCAGGATCGTGCTGAAGATACAGCTAGGCTGGTAGGACATCGATTTATTGACACTGTCTATGTAATCACAGTATTAAACTACCTGATCTGTGATCTGTGATCAGCATAAGAAGAAGTCAATTAAATGAAAAACATGCAAGTTTTAAAACAATGTGTGCCATCAGGTAATATAAATACTAATTAACTTTTAGACTTTATGAACTCCCTAAGGGACTTCACCTAATAAAAATTTCTAAGAGACATTTGAAGGAGGTCTCTTGACCATGAAAAAAATAAACTAGGAAGAATAGCACAACTTTCAAACTTATGAAATAAAAATGTCTGCTAAAAATTTTTTAGTTTATACTATTATTTTCTTATCAATTATGATGTTACTTTGCTTAATCATTAAATTACCATTGGAATAGGGACTTAAATCTATTAATGATGATAAAATAATGAAAAAGGTTTAAAAAAGTTCCACTGCATAAAGGGTTTACTACCCATCTCCCACCATCTAATTCCTAACCATTTCAGAAGCAACATCTCTTAAAATTTCTATTCCTTTCAGTCAGACCTCCCTTCAAGGTCCATAGCATCTGAAATGTATCATCATTGCAGTAAGCCCCATACACTGCTCTGTAATTTAGATGTATTTTTTCCCAAATAGCCTATAAATACCTTGAGGGCGGGGACTACGTCTATCATCTGTGTCTCCTGTAGTACCTAGTAAAGTGCCTCGCCAGGACAAGGTGATCACACAATATATACTGAATGAAAAGAAAAGGAGACATATAAACCATAACACTTACGAAATACCCTCCTGACCCTCAAGCTGGTAATGCTTCTGAACAGGCAGGAGTTCATGCTCATGTTCTTCATCTGATGTCCCATCAAAATTCTGTTCATTGATTAAGGGCCTCATTACATCCATGTCTTTAAAGAGAAAAAACAAAGCACTTCACTATTATTTTAAAAGCTGGGCTAAAGCTAGTATAAATTAATTTTTTTAAGGAGAACATAGCACTGGCATTCATCTTTACTATTTCTACCCTAAATTAATTCACATTAACACCCTGAGTTTTAGTATTCTTAAAAAGAAACAACTAGATTTATTTGCTGGATATTTTGTTTGGACTAAGCAGTACAAAGTGAAAAGCATAAGTATTCAATGCAAAACTTTCTGCTTTGTCTACATGAGGTTTACACTAAATGATCATAAAATTATGGGATGAGAAATATGAAGAGATAATCAAATGAATTTTCATCTCATTAGCTTCAAACCATACTATATATTGAACACATAAGTAATAATCATATTTTTAAATAATGATCTAGTTGGGAATAAATGATTGACATGTAACATTTTAAAACTTTTTATTTTAGAATAATTTCAAATTTACTTTAATTTTCAAGAACAGTATAAAAGCCCTGACCAGGGTGGCTTAGTTGGGGTGCCCTCCCACAAAGCTAAAGATCGCCTCTGCCACCCCAGGTCAGGGCACACGCCTGGGTTGCCGGCTCGGCCCCCAACCGACTGATGTTCTCTCCCTTTCTCCCTCTCTTCCTCTTTCTCTAAAAATAAATAAATAAAAATCTTTTAAAAAATATTTATCACAATTTATTAAAAAAGAATAGAACAAAAAAACTTCCATGCACCCTTTACAGACTCACCTATTTTTAACATTTTGCCATATTTGCTTTTTCTCTCTCTGATGTATATCACTTTCTATAAACTGAGAGGTTACATACACCATGCCACATTACCCTATGCACTCCCTAATAACAAAAATAGTTTCTTGAATATTCACATTACAGTTACCAAATTCAGGTAGTTCAACACTGATGCACTACTTTTATTTCATCTACATTCCATATTCCAATTTCTCAATCATGCCAATGTAGTTCTCTTAATACTTTTTTCAGTGCAGGATCATGTACTGCATTTAGTTAAGTTATTACACAGGTCACCTTTGCCATTATGGTTTTTATGATATAATGCCCTTAACCCTTTTTTCCTTACTTAATCCTTTATTGTCTAGTTTGTCAGGTTTTTTAAATTTAAAATGTCATTTGTCATTAATATGGTAAACACTGCCCTCTATTTAAAAAAATGACATTTGTCATTCAATCTGCCAAGCTTAGCTAAAAATTCATGAGTCTATTTTTCATCATATGTTGACAAGATATAGGATTCAGGATGCTAAAATCAATTTAACAGACATTAAATAATTCCACACATATGCACAATCTTGACTAAGTGGTTAAAATTATAGATGAACATCAATGTGGGCACATGGATATTCAATGTACACCCGTGAACTTAACAGAAGATGTGTTTGCATTGATTTCTGGTAATTAACTTGCTTTCTGTGAATCTTGAATCACCCAATTCCAAATGTTGCAGCTCCTACAGAAGGACTTTCTCTTTTTGAATTTTCTCAACTGTTTTTTCCTGTTTTCCAGTTGCTGCTTGTTCCTTCAGTTGTTCAAACTGCTTTCAGTTTCTTTAGGTTTTTTATTTTTTATTTTTTGTCTATCTCAGGATATCCAGAAGTTGACTGAGAGAGAGTATTTTGTGCTGTGCTCTGTGGGGCCAGAGCAGGTGCCAAATCTGGACTCATTGCTTCTTGCTTCCTGCTTTGCAGCTTTCTTAACCTTATCTCACCTTTCAATTTTAAGGACTGTTTTTGATAATGGTTTACCATTTCATGATTATGGTCTCATATTCTGAATTGGTTCCTCATGTAGTTTGGAATTGGTGATTGGTTCATTTCTTAAAGCTGGGGGTCTACAGCAACTCCACTACTAGGATTACACCCTAAGAACTCTGAAACACCAATCCAAAAGAACCTATGCACCCCAATGTTCATAGCAGCACAATTTACAATAGCCAAGTGCTGGAAGCAACCTAGGTGCCCATCAGTAAATGAATGGATCAAAACACTCTGGTACATTTACACAATGGAATTCTATGCAGCAAAAAGAAAGAAGGAGCTCCTTTGCAATAGCATGGATGGATCTGGAGAGCATTGTGTTAAGCGAAATAAGCCAGGTGGTAAAAGACAAATAACATATGTTCTCACCTTTAACAGGAACCTAATCAACAAAACAAACAAACAAGGAAAATATAACCAAAGACACTGAAATAGAGAACAGGCTGACAGTGACCAGAGGGGAAGAGGTGGGAATTTCCGGGGAAAAAGGGGAGGGTTTGCAGGAACAAGTATAAAGGACACATGGACAAAAGGGCGGGGGTGAAACAGGAGGGAGATGGGGAGGGCTGGGGGGGGGTGGGCTGGGATGGGAGTAAAAGGCAGAAAACTATACTTAAATAACAATTAAAATAAAAGTAAAAATTTTTTAAAAAGCTGGGAGTCTATAAGCTGTTGATAAACTTTAGGCTCTTTATTGGGTATGTCACTTGGAACTGCAGGGTAAGTTACTGCTTTTGCTGGAGATATTCCTTCAAAAAATGGGCGCCAAGAAACTGGCCATAATTCCACATGCAATGTTGTAAGACAGAGCCAGTATAACACCAGCTCTTGTACCCATATGAACATGTACCCTGGGAACACATGTGGCTGTTAAAATATACTCACCATCTGGGCATGGAGTATAATATGGAGAATAAGAGGCCACTAGTTTAGAAATAAGTTTGTAGCTTTCAACATTCCACATGTTCATTTGTCACCTCAGGTTCCCAAACCCAGACAGTACTAATAGTGTCCATGGGGGCTATAGCAGGCTGCGTTATGGGGACCAGTTCCAAAGTCAAACACAGGATCACACTTCAAGTTAAAAATTGCCACTTTGGCAGGCATAAAATCATAAACAGCACAAAACGCAGTAGAACCAGAATTTCAAAGTACATCATAAACGGGGCCATTTTTTGGTAATGGCCCTGTAGCACTTCTCTGTTTGTTGTAATGTAGTGCAGCATTTATTACTCCCAGTAGGAAGTTCCCATTTTGCCAATAACACCTGCACCAGCCATTACCAACACAGCAGACTTTATTCCATGGCACTGTAACCTCATCTGCCTCAAAGACCTCTTGTGGCTAAAGCTGCACGAGTCCATCAGAGTTGGGATACCGATAGAGTCTAACAAACGAAGCTGCACCCTTACGTCCTGGAACACAGACAGCCATCTTGTGTGACTGGGGATCCAGATGATCAATAAGTTTTTGAAAATGCAATTTATTTGCAAATTTATTGAAACTTGTTTTCAAAGAAGAGACCTTCAACGTCAACAATTCGGGCACAGTTTCATCTTCTCACCAAGATGGACACCAATTTTGCATATTTTTCCAGATGAAAGACTTCAAACATGCCCCAGTTTCCACACCACGAAGGTGGGAATCCCAGCTATGCCATCTCTGAAAGCAGTGTAAGGCTGCCACATTGCCAGGACAGTCTTTTTGGGCAAGGACTCAAGGCAAACTGCCTTTGGGAGACTGAAGAGGTGCAGACGTCCCTTGTCAGTAACACTGATAAGGTTTATCTTGTTCTCTGTTGCCCCAGGCAAACAAAGCTACACTTTGCCATTTTTCCCAGACTCTCTCGGAAATACTGTGTTTTCTGTGAAATGTGGTGCCCATTCACCAGGTGCAGACCTCTCTGTACTGCACTGTCAGGAGTGGTGGGAATGGTGCTGTCTTGTCCTGGAAAGAGCTTGTCAGTTTTAAATGGCATCCATATCTACACAATTACTGATCTTATTCTACTTTTGTCATTCTGTCTTTTATTCTCTCAGTTTTTAGTTGTATTCTGTCCACTTTGGCAATATATACGATGCTTTACATACTATTTTCCCAGTCATTTCCCCACACATATCTGAGACTTATACACACAATCAATATACTAAATGTTTGCTATCAGTCCTCTGCCAAAGTTTGCTCAGTCATCCCTTGGCTGGAAGAAGTTCATTCTTCTGTAGAACTTGCCAGAATGACCTGTAGGGCTTGCTAAAACACAGATCTATGTGCTCCACCCCAAAGCTTCTGATGCAGCAGCTCTGGGGTGGGCCTGAGAAAATACGCATTTATAAAGAGTGCCCAGGTGATGCTGATGGTCTATGGACCACACTTTGGGAAGAACTGCTCTAGCACCGGATTGGCCAGAAAGTCCACCTGTTTTTTCCCATTAAAATGGCTCCAGTAGCATGCAGTTGTCTTTAACGTCATTTGAAACAATTTTGTTAGGCTGAATTATGACAGCTATCATATCAGCATGCAATAAAAAAAAACTTATCAAAATTGGTGAATTTTTGTGTAGCCATTTTATTATTGAAGATGAAAGAAAATACACATTTCCAGCATATTATGCTTTATTATTTCAAAGGTAAAAATTCAACTGAAATGCAAAAACAATTTGTACACTGCGTGGAGAAGGTGCCATGACTAATCGAACCTGTCAGAAGTGGTTTACAAAGTTTCGTGCTGAAAATTTCCCACTGTGATGCGGTCACTGGCAAGCAGTGTCCGCTGCATTGTGGATGAGATACAAGACAAATTCACATGGACTACCGAGTACTGTGGAGAAAAAGGGATGGCATGGCCACTCTCTCAAGGGGAGAATGCCTTGCCTTGACAAGCTTTTACTGCTTTTCTGGGCACATTACATGATGATCCTCATTTACTATGCAGAGGTTGGCTTTAGGTGGTTACCTTTTACAGAAAACAAAGAACAGGATGATGCTAATCACATCACGGAAGAAGGATATTTGCAAATGCAAAGGGAAAAGTGGTTGAACTGGTTACACTAGTCCTTGGAAGATTTAGCATAGATTTTAGGAAGTTACCTTAAAGATACGCAGTAAATGTTTGCTGCCTCAATTCAGGGTGAGGGAGTTTTAGTAAAAAGCAAGTCTCAAAGCAGCCTAGCTATGATGCAGGCCTGATTCCCCATGGGAAAACCTATCTATGGGCGTGGGT